TGCAGTATATGTGATACAAATAATTAACTAATTTGACAAATCTGACATAGTTAATATTTTTAATATGTCTGATATATATGATATATTTAACATAATTGATATAATTGACATATTAGACAAAATAGACATAGTTGACATAGTAGATATAGTAGATATATATAATATATTAGTTATATTTTTCTATGTATTTTATTTTATATAAATAGGTAGCTTTTTAGTTCATTTAAAAATAAGAAGTAAGAAACTTAATAAGTTTTCAGTAGTTTTAAAGGCAATTGGCCTATCTCATTGCATTTTTATTTTCAGTATTCTGTTTCTTTTCTTTTCCTTTCATCATTTCTTTATTATTTTCTTTTCTTTATTTTATTCTTATTATTTTACTCGTAAATAAACATATTATTTTAATAATATAATTACTTAAAATCAATCAAATCTCTATTCGTGATAATTGTATAAACATTTCTGATAACCAGTCTGAAGTAAAACTTGTAAACCATTGGAAGATTACTGCTTAATTAAAAAGAATAAACTAATTGAACACCTATCTAACAGTTGTATTTCATAAGAATTACACATTAACATTTAACAATAATAATAGGACTTTTTTTTTCTAATTAATATAGTAATAATATATGAGAATACTATATAAACTCATTCAAAGACATATTTAATCACCAATGATTATATCAGCAACAATATCTTCAGAAAGAACATAACATAATAAAAGTTATTCTCTTATTAGATTCCTCATATATCATTTATCACCTAGTACCTCTACTATCAACTTTGATAACCTCATTTTGATATTTTTTTGAGTAAGCTAAATTTATCTTAGACACCCAACAATACACTGGAAAATAATTGAAAATTTTCAAATAGTTAAATCTGCTACTACTGCTGAGTTTTGACAATACTTTTACAAGTAAACTTTCAAACTTTTGTCTATAATAAGTAACCTTTTTATACTCTTAATCAAGCTCTTTAACTAATTATTCAAGTATATTATGAAACTTCTGCTTTTTCCTTATTTCGTCATACAGACTTATCCAAATATATTAATCTATCAGTTATCTTTTTAGCATTAAACCAAAATTCATCTATAATGACTAAACTTAAGAAAATAATAACTCTAAGAAGTAATACTATAATTAAGCCAGTATCAGAAAAAAAAGGAATCTATTTTCCTTAAGAGAAATATGAGCCTGACAATACCATATTCACTAATATTATCCCTAGTGAAAGAAAACCTAATCTACTGATTTTGAACTTCAACACTTCAACCTCTAGTTCTTATAAGAATATTAAAAGATTACTTAAACTAGAATTGAAGAATAAAGAAGAAACCTTAAGCTGTAAAAATTTAAGCCCATTGTACTTTAAATCAAAAACCAGTCACTTATAAAATCAGACTGAAACTAAAAAGTCTAAATCTAAGAAAACTAGCAAATAAAAGAACTATTATTCATCTTCTTATTATGATAGCTTCTTCTTCTTCTCCTTTAGTTCTGACTCTAAAGATTATAGCTCTGATGATAATGAAGATAAAGATCCATTCGATATAATTGATGCTAATAATCAAGATGAACAAAATTTCTTTTAAATGATGAAAGAATTACAAACTATTTTCAGAACTATTAGATTTAACAGATAATGAGAAGCTAAATTTGTAAATTTGCTAACTTTTAAAGATGGAGACTAAGACCCACATGATGATTAGAAAGATATAATAATACTAGAGATGCAAATGGAATTTCTGACAAATGATGTCTTATACTAGTTCCATCATTTTTGAAAGGATCAGCCCTTATCTGATACAATAAAACTAAGAATAAAAAAAATTCGTAATACTAGAACAATTCAACTGATTGATAATATAAATATCAGTCTTTTGTTTACCATTTTTTAAGAAATTATTGTACAACTCATCAAAAGACACAATGGCACTTTGCACTTAGATGATGTAAATAATGTCCTGAACAATCTGTTGAAGATTAGGTTGCTGATATCAAATCACTGTATCTTAAACTTGATCCTAATTATAACACACTTGAGAATAAAAAAATTGAGCAATTTTTACAAAGATTTCGACCTAAGTTTCACATTACTGCAGTATTATGTAATTTGAAAGAAACCATTGATTGAATATGAGCTATTAAAGTAATATTATCAAAGATAGTATGCTCTTTAGGTATTCTTTAAGTAAGCATATCTGACCCAAAATGACAATGATACTGTTGAAGATTCTACCGCTACCCCTGAGAAACTAATAAAAGAATTCAAATAGCTATTAACAACTTCAAATACTGCATCACAACCTAAAATACTACTTCGCATTCAACTAATACTAATAATAATTGGAGAAATAATAACAATAATGATAACAATAATAATTGTAATAACTAAGGTTACTATAATTGCAGACGGTCTAGATATATTGCTAGAGATTGTAGGTAATAAAACTATTCAGGTAATCAAAATAATAGAGGAAATAACTGATATAATCAAAATAATAGATCTAACATAGGCATTAGCTGTTATAATTATCATTAAAAAGTACATAATGTAAGGAATTATAACAATTCACTTAGGAGATATTATTCTCATTATAGTCAGTTTAAACACTGAAGAAATTTATGTTCAACCAGAAATGTAAATAATAGTATTAGAAATACAAAAAGAAATATAAACTTACCCACTAGTTATAATACTACTAGACAATATGCTGTATTATCTTAAATTATATCTATGTATAATTCAGGATACAATTCCCTTCATCAAATATCCATAACTTTTTTAGTTCTAAATTCGCTACCAACAAATGCTAATAGTACTTAAACTATTAACAGTACCTCTAGAGAGTGAGTATATTACTAGAAATATAAATCTCTTAGAATTACCTAAGGTCATAAAAGCAGTTTACTATAATGCTGCTATCGATAATAAACTGATATATTTAATTTTAGATTTAGGATCAGCTGAAAGTATGATGTCTAAATTATTTTTACAACAACTGAAACAAAAATTGAATCAGCTTCTACTATAATCATAATAAATATATAAGGAGAATGATCATGATCTTTAGAACGAGTTATAATATTCTATTACAAATAAATAGTGTAAAAATTCCTATTAATGTTGATATCACAGAATCAAATGATTATTATATAGTAGCAAGAAATAATTGGCTTACTAAATGTTAAGAATGACTTTATTAGGATTGTCAAAAATTTACATTTTTCTAAACAATCAAATACCTATGACTTATTGGAAGAAACCACAGTTTGATTACTTCAATAACTAATAAATATTGTTAATAGTTTTATTAGATAAAGAATATGAGAGTAAATAATTGATAGCTCAATGATATTATGTAGTATTAGAAAATCATAATAACTCAACCCTTTTAGCTAAAAGGAATCTAAAACAAATTTCAGTAGATAGATAAAAGTATTTCTCATAATACTTTGAGAGTTTGAATCAGAAATTTAATGTCTAATCATCTAAAGATATCAAATGAAAATATCATTAGTAAAGACCAGAAAATCAATGCTAGTATTATCACAAATTGAATAAAATTGATAATAATTATCAACTCTATAAGAAAGAATAGAATCACTGACAATTATTACGAAATATTCTAGATAAACTACCTTCTCATGAACAGACTTATAACTATCTTAGCAAATCTCAACAGCAACAAATCCTTCAGTTCTTTCATAAATATAATGATGTATTTGCTGAGAACTTGTCTTAATTAGGGCATATGACAATCAAAAAGCATCATATACTAGTAGAAAATCTTATGCTCATATGATAATATGCTTACTGAGTAGCTTCTTTAGAATAAGAATTTATTAAAGATGAAGTTGATAGAATGCTGAAACACAACTTATACAACATCTGAAAGCCCTTAAATCTTACCTATTATTCTTATTCAAAAGAAGAATAGAAAATTATGATTTTTTATTGACTATAGAAAGCTTAATAGTATTATCTAACGAAATAGACATCTCCTATCATATATTGATAAATTGCTTGACATATTTAAGAAAGTCAAATATTTCTCAATGCTAGACTTAGCTAGCAGATACTGACAGATCATCATAGATCTCAATGATCAAGCTAAAATGGCTTTCATAATTAATCAAGAACTTTATGAAATTAAAGTCATGCCGTTCAGACTAACAAATGCCTCTGCAATCTTTCAATATCTTATGAATAAGATTTTTAGAAGGAAATAAAACAATTTATAGTTATATATCTTGATAACATAATTATCTTTTTGATAAGTACATAAAACATCTAAAATTAATTTTTAAATAGTTAAAGGATGCTAGACTCAAATCTGAAAAGGATAAGTATGAATTTGCTAAAGTTATTCTTCATGATAAATTTTATAATATTCTATTATGATTAATATTGCTAAAAGTAAATGTTAATAAGATGGTCAAAAGTCAATAATAAAAAATTTTTAATTTATAATTTTTTTAAAAATAAAATGTACTATAATATTATATATATTTATAAAATTAATTTAAAAAAAAAATTTTTAATTTTTCATAAAAGTAAATCAGAAGGGAATTTATAGTAAATAAGCAGGAAAATTTGCCTGCGAATCTCTACAGTTTAAGGGATAAGTTAAAAATATGTTATCATTAAAAAATAAAGCCCATTATGATCAAAACTTTTATTTATACTTTATTGTAATACACAAAAATGAAAAATCTGAACATGACAGCAAAGAGCTTTATTATTTCTGATTATTCAAAATAAAGGCAAAACAATTTCTCGGCAGAAAAAAAAATCAAATTATTACCCTACACAAAATAACTACTTACTCCTTTTTTTCAGAACCAGTCATACTTTTAACTATATTTAACTTCTAATTAAGATTGAATAAAAAGTGCTCATTATGAAAAATACTATTTCTGAATATTTCTGTGAATAAAACTTTTTTTTTCCATCGTTACCTCAATTGCAAATGACATTAATACTTCTTTTCATTTCTTGGCTTTCTCTTTCCCATGATCAAATTCGGGATAATCATTATCGACAGATAGACTTCGCTTAACAAATTGCGAACCTACTTCGTGGAAATCATTGTAATGTATTATACCCACCAAGAACAAGGGAATCCTAGAATATTCACAAGAGATAAGTTCAACGTATAGTAAAGCCAAAAGCATGACATAACTAAAAACTCTAACCTGTGCGATCTCTATTTCTTTCTTTACAATTTCTTTCTTGGTAAGCAATTTGCTTACTTTAGCCACTTTTCTCTTGATATTTCGTGGCATCTGTCGCATCTGAAAAGGCATTTTTATTAACAAATGTGGAAATAATTATATAAAACGTTAAGGTGTCCATGAAGTGTATAAAGCACATGAAATAGTGTACTTTTGGAGATGAGGATCACCTCAACTCACGAGGAAGAACCTCGCCTCACAAGGATACACCTCGGAGTATACAGCCTCTAGTAAGCTAAAGTGCAATCAGATACAACAATCCCCCGGAATTAACCCAAACATTTGGACTAATATATACGAGGAAACACCTACATACTAAGCAATTAGCTCGCCAACAAAGCATACAGCTTGCTAGATTGTCGGTCCTCAGGCTGTTTCCTCCTCCTACTTGAAACAAAATAACATTACCTTGAGTTGACTTTCCAAATGCGTCAGACGTAGTTGCGCAGGATGATCTTTTGAAAATAAAATCCCTATCTCTTTTTTGAATGAATCATATACGCGATCTTTTTTCACGTCATGTAGGTATTCCGAATATTCGTGAAGACTTGGCCATTTATCATAAGGTTTGTTCCAAACTTCTGTAAGAATGTGAAAGTGAAATCATAAATAAAGAAACATCACAGCAATAAATAATAAGTTTGCAAACCTTACCGTAATAACGAAGGAATTTTCGGGTAGGTGAGTGTCATTCGGAATACTCAGTTGAAATTGATCGTTCATTTGTTGGATCCACGACAACTTCAGCATCCTGAAGAGGTAACTATGACTGGACTGTTTGGAGAAAAAGCAGAGTAAATTTGGAATACTCAATCTATCAACAAAATATGACGGCACTGAAGTAACGACTAGCAAAAAATTAAGCCATATCGGTGTTGTTATATTTCTTTATTACAACGCTTAACTTTGAGTGTTCCGGGTGGTGTTTGGCAACAAGAAGCTGAAAACATACCTAAAGACCTCAATATGTACATTTTTCTTCCAAGTCCTCAAGACAAGTTAGTGCGTCGGCTTGTCGATCTTTGATTTCCGGTGAAGTAACTTAGTAAACTAATTTTTTGTCTGAAACGAAACCTAGTCGTTTGATTTCTTTTTTTAATATAATTTTAGATTAATGTTAAAGAAAGTCGTATTATTATATATTAACCTAATATAGTTAGTGATAAAATCAATATTTTATCAAAGATTATCGAAACGAACTATGATGTAATTAAGTACCCTACCCACGGCAAGTCTATATAGTATTTATTACCCGATCCATTATAATTACATATAAATACCCACTCAAATGGTTCTATTCCTCGTTTCAAAGGTATATTATGGATGACACACGACCTTTGAATTCGGACGGAAATCGAATTAAATATAACTCGATAAATGAAAATGGGATTGAATATAACCATGATAAGATTTTATCAACATGGGAAATGATCAAGCTAACCGTATGTATGGCAGGGTTTCAATTTACATGTGAGTATTTAACTTTGGAAAAACTTTTAATACAGCTGACGCAATGATTCGCGTCAAGAAGATTTTTAAGTTTTAGTAGTTTATTTTCCCCTCTTTTATAATATTCTGTCTTTCGTTTTCTTCTTGTAAATGCTTCTTTTAATACCATTAAAAGTTTTGTGTTATCTTGTAAACGATAAATAAATAAATCTATCTTAGGGACAGTTGAATTGTCGTGAGTACTTATTTAGTTGCTTATATCACATATATAAAAAAAAAATCTTTTTTTCGATCGTAATCAATGACAAATATTTAATATATTTTTCGAATCGGACATATCTACGTAATTTCACGTTAATATCAGTTACGGGTCACCATATTTACGGACTTTAGGTCTGAGTTCAGAGTTAATAGCTTTGGTATGGCTTGCGGGACCTTTATCAGGCCTACTGGTTCAACCTCTCATTGGGGCTATTAGCGATAAAAGTACCTTCAAAATAGGTAGAAGAAGACCTTTTATTCTTATTGGAGCAATTTTGGTTTGCCTTTCTATGGCAGGAATTGCTTATTCAAAAGAATGGGCTGCGCTTATTCTTGGAAAGACCATCTCGAGGCATAACAATGATGCAGAGGTAAAATAAATAAATGTATATATATTGGCATTGGAAAGTTTTGGTTAACTCTTCCTATTTATTTAGATCAATAGGATTGCCATATACATTGCAGTAACCGCATTTTATTGCTTAGACTTTTCCCTTAACGCGGTTCAAGCATCATGTCGTGCATTGATTCTTGACATTCCATCCTTCTCCCAACAAGAAACTGGCAATGCATGGGCTGGAAGAATGATGCACGTAGGAAATGTGGCTGGATACTTTACAGGCTTTTTGGATTTAACTGTATTATTTCCGATTCTAGGAGATACTCAATTGAAAGTACTCTGTATTATTGCTTGTATTATGCTTACCTTATCATTACTTATAACGTGTTTAAGTGTGAGAGAGAAAGTTTATGAACCGGTTGATGAGGTTGAGTAAGTGTTGAGTTTTATGATTTATAAATTTATTTAACTTTAATTTGCATTCTTTTAATTTACATTAATGTCTATATTTCTAGACCTTGGTGGAACACTTTCGTTTATATTTATAAAGCTTTTAGATATCTCCCAGTACCCATTCAGAGAATCTGCAATGTTCAATTTTTCGCTTGGATGGGATGGTTTCCATTTTTGTTTTTCAGGTGAGGATTATTTCCTTTACAACTTGTTTTGCAAATACTTTTATAGTAATTTATTTCATTTCAAAGCACAACTTGGGTAGCAGAAATGTATGCACGTACTCACCCAGATGAAGATCCAAACGATCAAGACTTTATATATAAGGCTACAAGAGCTGGTTCATTTGGTTTATTGATTTATTCAATGGTATCAGTTGTGGCTGGTACCTTTATTCCTCAATTTACTCCAAAGACCTACCCTAGTAATAGTCCATTCACCATCTATAACATTTATACTGCATCACATATCATTTTCTTTTTTATAATGATGACTACCTACTTTGTACGTACTGAACATGATGCTATTGCGGTTCTTGCTAGTATTGGTGTTCCATGGGCTATTGCTATGTGGATTCCTTTCGCACTTGTGGGCGAGTTTGTACAAAAGGAAGATGTTGAAGCTATCACAGAAAATACCCTTGTTAGACCTACCGAAATTAATGACATTGAAAATGATTCAACATTAGCTTCATCTTCATTGTCTCAACTAATTGATACAAATGAACAGATCGAAGAAGAATTTGACGCAGGAATGATCCTCGGTGTTCATAATATGTATATTGTATTTCCTCAATTTGCCGTTTCTTTAATTAGTGCTATAATATTTAAACTCGTAAATTCAAAAGTTGGAAATGTTGAAACCAATGATGGGGTAGGATGGGTCCTTAGGTTTGGCGGATTTATGGCACTTATAGCAGCTGTTTTATCGCGTTATCTTATACAATTCCATATTAACAAACAAGTATAATTGTAATTATATAAAATATAGGTTAGGTGTAAAATATTTCTTTAAATTATAACTTAAATATTAATATAAAACTACATTATTTTTTATAAAATCTTTTAATCGGATTATTTTTTTCAAATAAATTACAAGTATTTAAATTTCTTTTTAATCTATTAAAATTATATATAAAACCAGGTAATAATTCTTTGATTTTACAATATTCTTTCAAATTAAAAAAAAAAAGTAAATTTAATCATTTATAAAAACATATATATATATATATATATATATATATATATAATTTTATAATAAAAATGGTATGTTACAATCAAAAAAAGAAAAAAAAAAAATTAAATCAAAGAACAAAAAAAAATAAATAAATAAAAATAAAGGATATTTATAATACAAATCATTATACACATAAAAAAACTGTATCCATATTTTTTTATAAATTTTTTTTTTTTTTTGTCACTTTCTAATTTTACAATACACAGACAAATAATATAACAGTTACAAATGAATTAAAACATTTTGAAGTTAAAATAAATTCTTTCGCCGAAATTTTCACCTTATATTTCAACTAATGAAATGTTCTACAAATTCCTCATAAAAAAGCAGAAATAAACTACAAATCCCTTTCAATATCCAATTAATCCGGTAATTTTAAAAGCATTTCCGTCATTATTCAATTTTTGATCCGTTAATTTAATAAACCTAAAGATCCGACAAGATAATATGGCAGATAAAATGAGCAATTATAAAAAAGATAAACTAAGGTTCCTTTTCGATTTCCACTGTTTCGACAGGTGTAATTTCAACGGCATCAGAACCTATATGTTTTGTTTGTGGGGATTCTTGAGCCAACTCGGATTTTTGAATTTCATCGCTTGTGACATCTGAATGAGATTCAGTAACAGTGGCAATTTCGGTTTCACTGGATTGCTTTTCGCTTGTTTCTTCTGTTTCTAAAGTGGAAGTTTCTTCAACATGAACATTAGAAGTCACTGTTTCTTTTCCATAGGAATTTTGTTCAGATTCAACAGATTCGTCATGAATTTCGCGGGACTCTACATGAATTTCATGGGATTCTTCAGCAACTTTAACAGGAGACTTTTCTTCTGAATCTTCAACATGAGATTTATCTTCTGAAACTTCAACATGAGATTCGGGAGATTCGGAATGCTCGCTCTGAATTTCAACACGGTGATGCTCATCCTCAATACTTTCCTTTGACCCTTCAGACTTTACTTCAGCTTCTTCTGCGTGAGATTCTACCTTTTGGACATTCACCTTATCGGTATCAGAACCAGACCCTTTCTTCTTTGTTGCTTCTACTTTCTTAGATTCACCTGGTTTTGCGGTTTTCTTTACAAGATTTTTAGCACCTTTATTAGGTAGACCTTTAGCATTAGGTGCTACTGTTTTTGCACTAGCGGTACCAGCTGGTTTAGAAGCAATCTTAGAAGGCTGTTTTTTCTCGGCTGTCGAAGCTGAAGTTTTAGTAGTGCTAGAAGTTTTTGTGGAAGGTTTGGTAGTGGTGCGTGATGAACTCTCTGCGGTTTTAGCAAGTGGTTTTGTTTTTTCAGTGGTGGTAGTTTTGGAATGTGCCGTTGTTGTAGGTTTTGCTGCTGGCTTATTTGTTTTTTTTATTGTTGATGGAGCAGAGGTATGCGGATTGGCAGTAGTCTTGCTACTAGCAGTTGACGTTCCGCTTGTTGTTTTGGGTTTTTCGGTGGGTTTCTTCCCCTTGGGAAGAGTGGAAATCTTAGAAGGCGCACCTTTCTTTACGGTTGGAGAAGGATTAACTGATGAAGAAGAAGGCTTCTTAATAATCTTTTTGGGTGCCTTAGTCTCATCATGGACAACTAAGTTTGTAGCATTAGGTTCTTTATTTTCTTCAGTATGAACTTCTACATTTTTTTGTTCTACCGTTTCGTTAGTTGCTTCTGTATGCACTTCAGTATTTTCATCAATAGCAGAAGTTACAATAACTTGCTCCTTTTCCTTTTCAACCTCTTTAACGAAATTGGCTTCCTCCTCATTTTTATTATTGGCATTTTCATCTTGCTTCACCTCAGTGCGTCCTTCCGGACTAATGGAAGTTAAAGAGGTAGCGCTTTTCTCTTGTTCATCCTTTTCGTCTGTTTTTGACACATTTCCAAAACCATGTGATATTCTTCCAATTGGACTACGAGAACGAGCTTGAGGTTGAGCTTGTCCGGGGGTCTCGTCTGGATTTGCTTCAAACCTTTTAATAAGAGAATTAACCGGAGCAAGCTTGGAGTGGTCTGGAATGTACATCTATTTATTTAGGCAAGGATGGAAATTAGTATTCGTAACTTAGGTTCGAATAGACTGTAACATAAAAGAGCGCGTACCTCTTTATGAGTTCTTGAAATTAAGTAAAGAACTTAATACAAGCTCAAAAGTGAATTTTTGCCTATCGAAAGGAAAAAAAAAAACCAAGTACTGTGTGTCAAACGCCTGCTAGATATCTTAATAAACAACAATACTGTGTGATCTAAAATTATAAAGTAAAGCTGTACGACGTTCAAAATATAATATTTGTGCTTATTCAATGTGTTCAATGGGCTAAAACTGTTGCGAACGTGAAGTTCAAATTGTTTTTTGGTTTGTGCGATTGTAAATCAGGTGGGTGAACGACTTTTAGTTGTAGCACCTCGATCATATGGAAATTAAATCATATAAATTTACATTTTTACACGTTAAAAATTTACCGCGAAATAAAATACCGGTTTACTGTATTCATAGAAGGCCTATTTTTGTTAATTAGCTTCCTTTACCTTTTTAAACCTATTTGATACAATTCGAGAACCGTTCGTTAAAGGAGGAAAAAAAAATTTTTTTTTACTATTGAATTTTTTTCGTAAAAGACTTTCTTGTATGAAAATACAACATGGATCTAATGGCCATAATAAATGCTTGTTTTAATTTGTTCACGGGAATTCTGAATGCAGTGCTTTACTTTCTTATTCCAAGACCAGTAATCACAGACGACCAAGCAAACCGAAGAGATTCACACTTAGCCACACAGTTTATCCAAAAATTTGAAGAAAAATATGGTGATGTACATCCAGATTTTTTCCACGGAACTCTCTCAGAGGTAATAATTCATTTATAATAATTTATGTTCTTTGTGTTAAAAAGAATTATTAAACATGAATGCTATTTTGACTTGATCTAATTAGGCCTTAGAAAGAGCAAAACGTGATCTCAGGTTTGCAATGGTGATACTTCAAACAGGTGAACATGATAACACTGCTAAATTCAATCGGTATATATTTTTGATTTTTTATTTTATCTTTGATATATCTATTTTATCTATTAATTCTGTTAATTATTGATATATAAAACATATCAGCGAGACGTTAATATCTGATATATTACTAACGTTTCTCCGCGAACACAATGTATTAGTATGGGCAGGGGACATAAAGGATCCGGAAGCTTACCAAGGTTTGCCTTTTTTACTTTAATTACTATAAAATTAGCATTTATTTTTAACGTTATTATTATTATTAGCAAGTTTGACATATAAAGCAACTACGTTTCCATTTGTTGCTGTAATTGTCGCTCAAATACCTCAAGGAAGCGCTGGATCAAGTCCAAGGTTGTTTGTTGTAGACCGTTTTGAAGGTAAATTAAACGATTATATATGTTTTATTCTTAAAATTGATGATTAACATAATTTTGCATTTAGGATATTCATCTCCAGAGAATCTGATAGCTAGACTTACTTTATCGATTGATCGTAACGGACCAAGTCTTCAGAGGATTAGGAATGAGCGTGCAGAGCACGAAGCTGCAAGAGAAATACGTGCCCAACAAGATGATGCGTATTTAGCTTCATTAAGGGCAGATCAGGAAAAGGAAAGGAAGGCACGTGAATTGGTCGAAGCGCAAAGATTGGCCGAAGAGCGTGCGAGAAAAGAAAAGGAAGCGCGACAATTGCTTGCATTAAACAGAGAAAATTGGAGACGATGGACTTTAAAAAATTTACCAGATGAGCCACGCCCAGAAGAAACCGAGGTGGCAAAATTGAGCTTTAGGTTAGCCAATGGAGAGAGAGTAGTAAGAAAATTCAGAGCAACTGATACTGTTGAGGTGAGAGACGTGTTTATAAATATTTTTAATAAGTTTCACATAATATATAGATTTTAGATAAAATCTTCCTTCTTTGATGTAGACGGTTTATAATTTTGTTGATACATATAATTTACGAGACAAGTCTTCATCCTCAAATGTATCTGAACCATCGGCGGATTATACACACACATTTAACTTTCTATTAGTATCTCCGTATCCTCGTACTGTTCATCATGCGGATAAATTCAAAGAAATACAAAACGAACAAGGACTTTGGCCAAGTGCAAACCTAATTGTAGAGGAATTAACTTCGGACGATGATGAAGAAATCTAATATTTATAACCCACTATTCCAATGAACATTTAATAAACAAATCATAATCGGATTTGTGTACAAATATTATGCAACATTAATAAAAATTCATTTTTAAAGTTTTTGGACAAGTTTTTGAAACGGTTACACAAACAATCCATAAATAATACTGTATTTCGGAATGCATTGCATGGAATGTTATGATCTTCTGTGAAACATGCTGTCATATGATTGATTGTTACTGCATTAAGAAATCATTTTATAGAATTTGGCATTTTATAGTCATCATTTGTTTTTTTTCCAATTAGATTTTTTTTTTGTAAATAAAATTTGTTTTTATAAAATTATAAGTTTTTCAAGATGAATCCTTGTTGTTCAGAATTGCAAGAGCAACTTTTAACGCAACGACAAATTAATAGAGACCAATCAAGATTAATTGATGGCAAGCAACAAATTATTGAAGATCAAGCAAGACTAACTAAAAGTCAACAACAACTAATTGATATGATGTATGAAAAAATTCAAACGTTGGAAAATGATATTAGCAAACTTAAAGGAGAAGGAGGTAAGATTAAAAAAGAAATAATTTCGTAAGCTTTTTTTTTTTTTTTTGTTTTTTGTTTTTTTTTTTTTTTTTTTTTAAAAAAAAATTTTTTTTTTTTAATGAAATAACATTTTTGAATCTAATTTTATTTATCTTTTTTTATAGGAGGAAAATATGAATTTAAAGTATTTCTTAGAAATGTTAAACCATCATTAACTCCTAAAATGTTGAAAATTCATCTTGAAAGATCGTTTGGTCCTATTCATGAAATTTCTCAACCAGATCCAAAAGTATTTCACTTATTTATATATATATATATATTAAAAAAAAATGTATGTCTTATTGATAATTTATTTCTTTTTTATTTTACAGTCTCCATATGCATTCGCTTATTTCAAGAATCGTCAACATTTTCTTCAAGCCCTCGAGAAAGGAAATATTAATATTGACGGAATTAACGTCAAAATTACATCTGGACCGAAAAAATAATAAATTTGGGAATTCGGGAATTTTAAAGCAAACTTTTTGTACTTTTAATCTTGACGGGGAAATCATATTTCCATGTATTTTAATCCAAATTGAAATCAGTTGAATAAACTAAATCCATATATCACGTGATTTTTCATATTTTAATAAATGTTAAATGCCGACACATGATTTATATGCAGTCTTTCCGTCAAAAAAAAAAAAATTATCGCTCTTATTTAAACTCTGCTCCATTACATTTTTTTTTTTTTTTTTTTTTTATCATATTTTCCTTGAAAAATTCTTGAAGGTAAATAAATTCTAGAGATGAGGGAGAAGAAAAAGAATGTCAATTACTTTTTATTTATTTAAAAGATTTTTTTTTGGAAATTTTTGTTTGAAACGACTTTAAAAGTAAATTTTTATAAATGGAAAGGAATTACAAAGAAAAAAGGAAAAAAACTTTATTAACATATTTATGTTATTTATTAGATTCCTTAAATAATTGTAACCTAATTGGGAATGATGTATTAGATCACCAGAAAAGAGGACTTTTATTCTTGAACACTCGACATGAAAACCAATTGGCAACATTTATAAATAGCCTTGACATATTTATCACAGATGTATCGAGTCATAGAAGCCTGTTAAAAATCATATACATTCATTTCTTGAAATGGCTTTTAAAGATAAATTCTAGAGAAAGTAGGTTCGGTTCTTTTTTTTTTGAAAAAAACAATAATAATATAATTCTTCTATATAATCCTTTAGAAAATATAAAAATAGAATTTGAAGAAGAATTTAAAGAAGGATTAGAATCGAAAATACTTCTATTCTAATATTCACAATTTATTGGCAAAATTCTGAAATTCCTTATTTCGTTTCACTCGAATTTTTCTCTTTTGGAATTTCACAATTTATTGGCAAATTGGCAAAATCCGAAATTTCTTATTTCGTTTCATTCGAAATTTTCTCTTTTAAGGAATTCCACAATTTGCTGAAAAATTTTTCTTTTAATTTCTGAATAATTTTTCATTATTTATAAAATTAGAATCTTATATATCAAAATTAATTATGAATAGTTTTCAGAATTTTATAGTATTTTATTTAAGTAAACTTTTATATAATGAAGTTTAATTTAATAAAAATATTTTTATAATAAAATTATTATTTTTTTTTTTTTAATATAACTTTAAAAAAAATCTTATTTATTTATTTATATATAATTTTTTGCAATAAAAAAAAAAAAGAAAAACTGTTATTTTTAATAAATATAAAATCTATAAAATTCTATTTTATTATTTATTTATATCTTTATAAAAAATAATATTATTAAAATATTTAAGTAATTAAAAATATATTAAATATATTTTTTACTTTATAATTAAAAAAATACCCATATTATATTAATTTAATATATTTTTTAAATTTATTATAAACATTAAAATTTAAAATCATTTTTTTTAAAAAAAAAATACATAATTCTTATATTTAATTTTTGATTAATTTAATTTACTATTTTAGAATTCTAAACAAATCAGATTTAATCTGATTTAAAATAGTTAGGTCTAGGGTTTCTATTTAAAAATAAAATATTTAAATAGTTGTTTGTAATTCAAATTTTTGAAATATCATAATTAATATTTGAAAAATAAAATTAATTTTGAATAACAAAAATCAAAATTTATTTTAGATATTGAATTGATTTTGAATATTAATAATCAATTCAAATATCATTTTAATTATTATTATTAATTATTTTAATTGATCTTATTAATTGATTATTTATTTAAAAATAAATAAAATAAATTAAAAAAAAAGAACACAATAAATAAAACTAAAGCTTATATAATCAAAAAAATTTAAAAATATTGAAAAAACCAAAAAATAAAAAAAAGAAAAATGTAAAAAAAAATATTTAATATCAAATATCTAAAATGATTTAGTTTCTAAATTGATTTTTGATTTAAAAATTAATTTGATATTTAAAATAACATTTAATATCTAAAATCATTTTGATATTATTTGAAATTATTTTAAAAAACTTTCAAATAATTGAAATGCAATTTGTATTTTATAGTTAATTTAGATTAATCAAAATTTTGCATTAATTAAATTTTCATTTAAATTAATTTAACTAGATTTGATTCAAAAAGAAAAAATTTTTTATTTATTAATTAAATAATATTAAATATTATTAAATTATAAAAATAATATAAAAATAATTAATAATATATTTAATTAACCTTATTATAATAATTTACTAATTAAAAGATTCATTATTATTTAATTAAAATAACCTATTATTATTCTTCTTAAATGATTTATATTGAATAATTTATTATTATTCAAGAAAATTGATTACCGTATCCTTCTGATTTTAAGCATCACCTCAACTTTCAGCACAAAAACTTGAAAAACAAAAATAAGCATCACCCAAATTTGAAAAAAATTTATTATATTTCATATTTTATTTCAAAATAAATTTTATTTTACAATTCATCATCATCTTCTAATTCATCTAATTCATCAGCTGAATCACTATCTATATCTATAACT